GGCTTTTTGGTTGCTTTTAGTCAGAAAACGTAAAGAAAACGACACACATACAGCAAGATAATATAATTTCACTTACCTGGCCTATCACTTTCAAACATCCATCCCTTCTTAAAAGTCTGTGTTAAAAGAGCCGACTGCTGAAACGATAGCCTGTATCCAGCTTAGGCGTGTTCTCCCTTTATTTTTAATTTGTATATATACTGTTTGAATGACAGCTTGGTAAATCTGTTGGCGATCAAATATTCAATATCGCTACTCATAAGTACTTGGTACATCATCAGCGCAGCGGGAGACGTTCAAACTAATATCACGTAACTTGCATCTCTATTATGATTGGTTGATATACCAGAAGGTAGCCTCCCTTACGAGGTTTATTTTCTCAACACTCCTCAGCGCTGAAAGTGAACACTCGATGCTGATTGGATAATTTTTTTTTTTTACCAACGGAGGCACGAGAGCTCAGCTCTCCCCCGGCCTCCCCCTCCCCTTCTCTCTCCCTTAGCGAATGAATTGTGAATTTTATTAACATTAAATCGTCCTCCTCCCATTGTCACCTCAAAATTTTGGGGAAGCTGTGCCTCCCCTGCCTCCCTCGACGAGCCGCCACTGGATATCAGGGCTGTTATTGGTCCCTTTATGTTCGGATATCTTTATTGGCTACTGAAGTGCTGTCAAAGGTTTGAATATCAATTCAAATTGTGGGCGTACTCAGTAACAAACTATGATCTAAAAGTAACGAAGTAGATTATTTTGCTTAATTTGTACTTAAGTACAAGTAAAAGTACAGCTTTAAAAATATACTCAAAAAAGTACAAGCACCCGAAAAAACTACTTCATTGCAGTAACGCAAGTAGTTGTAATTCGTTAGCCCCACCACTGGTTGCTGTAAGATTTTTAGTGACGCCGAAGCAAACGTCTTGACACCACTCAGATGTCTTGATTACTGATGCACTAAATTCCTCCATTAAACCTACAATTAGCCCTGATTGCGCCCCCTTTTGTCTCCTTGTGGCATCTGATATTCGCAAAAGACTCAGACCTCAGAGGTAAAAATGCAAATCAGCAGGTAATTATCCTGTGCTCTGATTACTCTAATTCTCTTCATGCTCTAAATGTTGCTCTCAGAGATGAGAGCCATATAAGAATAAACATAGTAAAACACGGCAGAAAATAGACGTTATAATATACTTCCTTGACAGATATGATTTCTTCTGTCAGGAAATAGAGCTGGCATGTTGTGTTGTAATGTATGACGATAACTTATGCTGGTATCTGTAGTGTGGGCAATTACATTTTGTTTGAGCATGATGTAAGTTACAATATACTGGCAATCAACAGGTATACAGGACAACTTAACTGAATAATCTTCCACCTTTGGCACTGCAGAAAGGAAAACAAAACAAACAAATAAATAAATGTTTATATTGTATATATTGTATCACTAATATTTTGGTAATACTAAAAGAAAGATAATATATCTTAACTTGCATCATATACAATTATTATATAACTAATGTATTGTTAATAATTTTTAATTAATTATTTCAGGAGGTAAACATATCAGACTTGACTATTCATATCCAACTACAATTATAATGGTATTGCATAACATACTATTTATTCATTTATTTTTTATAAAACTGTAACCTGACAGGTTTTGTTTCTTTATATGAGACATGGTCATTGTAACAGTTAAGGAACGTTATGTAAACCTTTGCATGTGTTTTAATGTATTGCACTTACATGCATACATTTTAATGGCCATTTAAAGTTTGAAATATAAGTTTCTAAAGCAATGGCTATTGTAATGTCATATAGTAGATATAGAAACTGTGACTGTCTCTCCCAAGGGACTTATGCTAATGCAGGTTTGTTAAAGTGACCTACTTTTATATAAAAATGATCATCTATAATGAACATACATCTGCGTGACAAATCTTTGACAAACTTTTCTTTAATCTGTTTATTTTGAATCCTTTTTACTCTCTCGTGTTCATGTAATATGCTTCTATAGGGTGATGTCTTTTTCCAAAGAGTAGAGGAGACATCATGTTATGTCATACACAACACTAGATTAGTGTGTTACAGTAACCTCTTTTATACTTGACAGGTGGAGACAGCTCTGATGGGGTGAAAAGTGAAATCTTTTGACACATGCTTGTTGCTAACTCACTGTTAAATGGTATCAATAGAAAGTAGTGCATTCAGTCTAAAAAGGTTCAGCTATAATGCCATAGTATTTGGTGTAGTATGCAGTACCAGCAGGAGATTTTTAGTGGATGTATGATGTCAGTTAGCCCTTGATTTGACTTGACTAGTTCATCACATTAAAGGTGGGGTAAGCGATTTCTGGTAGCCAATGTTGACATTTGAAATCCCCAAAACAAACACGCCTCTACCCCAAAAGGGTCTCGCCCCTATATATATATACACTATGGTCTACACTGGATGTGGTGCGGCACGACACGACAAATCCCCGACAGAAAACCGCTGCTGCGTTCTATTCATGACGTATTGACACAAATTTCAAATGATTTTCAACGGTCGCTTTGTCACGTCCAGTGTAATAGACAAACTTTAGCTGTTGCGGCTCAGACACAGTGTTACTCACCTATCGAGAAGAAACAAAGCAACCTCAGCGTCCGATCGCAGGCCTTCCGCTCCTTGAGTTCTCTCCAGCGCTGGAAAGCTGATCCGATGGTCTACACTGCATGCGGCGCGGCACGACACGACAAATCCCAGACAGAAAACCACTGCTGCGTTCTATTCATGACGTATTGACACAAATTTCAAATGATTGTCATCGGTCGCTTTGTCGCGTCCAGTGTACTAGACAGACTTTAGCTGTTGCGGCGCAGACACAGTGTTACTCATCTATCGAGAAGAAACAAAGCAACCTCGGCGTCCGATCGCAGGCCTTCCGCTCCTTGAGTTCTCTCCAGCGCTGGAAAGCTGATCCGATATTTACACGGGTCCTACTTCTTGCCTTAAGCCTTCTTTTGTTCCTCAGATGTTTTGCTCTTTTGTTTTTTATCCGCCATCTCTATCTTTCTGTCGCTCGGCTCTCTAATGTCCGTCCTGTGCACTGAACGCTCTCTCCTCCAAATCAGGAGTAGACATGCCCCTTACAGCTGATTGGCTACAAGTTTGTTTTGCTAGTCGGCCCAAATCAGTTTTCTAAAGCGTTTTTGGAAAATCGCTTACCCCACCTTTAATTGTGGATGCGTTTGTTTAGCAAACAGAAACTGTCACTATATTTGTTGTCTTAAATTTGAACAGTAAATATTGTTGATTATCATCTCCAACCTAACAAACTTTATTTTGTGTTCTCTGTTTTTAAAATAAATTCCAGTTGGTTTGGCATTTTGTCATCTAATGCAAACGCATTGTGCATTGTTTTTGGGGGTGCAGTTTTTTTTTGTGTGCGTGTGTGTTTCTGCTTGCCTTCCTGATCATATCATCTTAAACTTTTCTCTGGTCTTGATCCACAGCTCGCATCGTGAAGACCAAGCAGTGGTGTGACATGGTGCCCTGTCTAGAGGATGAAGGCTGTGACCTGTTAGTAAATAAATCAGGCTGGACTTGTACACAGCCCAGCGGCAGAGTGAAAACTACAACGGTGAGACTTACTTATTCTCATAATCACTGTCAAATGTCACTCTATTTACAGCTCTTTTCAATTTTATAATGTCACATGCAGTATTTTAAAGTGAAACGGTATATTCGATAAGAAAAAAAAATGGAGTAGGACTGGATGTATTGGATCCATTGGGAACTAATTAGATTGTGAAAAATGAGCTCTTCAGTCCAGAGAAGAAGTCAGCGGAAAAGGAAAGTCTCTTGAGAAGTGGTGCATATTATATTTTGATGAAAGGTTATAAACTCATCATATATGTAAATATATTTTTTTCTTTTTAATATTTACCGATCATTTGTTCATAGTAGCACCATGAATATATATGGCATCAGTTCTGATTTCATGTAATAGGTATACATGGAAGACTAGAGGATTAGAGTATATTGTCTGTCTGCAATAAGCATTAATTTATTTTATGATTTTAAATAATCTTATCGGTAGCACTTTATTTTACAGTTCTGTTCCACATGTACATATTATTTACTATAGTAATTCAAATAAGTGGGTAAAAACTACAGTAGTTACAGTACTTTCTTGGGTAAGTACACTAAATACACCGTAAGTGCATGTACTATAAATAAAATGCAACCATCTCATACTAGCATAGCATCTTTCAAAGACTACTTTCTTAAAGTCGCACTGAAATAAATGTAGCAACTGTTCTTTTCTTTCGTATTGTGATGTGTATTCAAGTGTAACAGTGGTTACACTTTATTTTAGTGTCCTTGTTACAGTGTAATTATAGATTTAAGTACTGAGTAATATTAATTAACTGCATGTACTTACTATATGGTTAAGGTTAGGATGAGGGTTTGGTTTAGGGTTAGTTGCATGTAATTATACATCATTTATTGTTATTACTGTAGTAAGTACATGTAATAAGGACACGTAAAATAGTGTTATCGAAATGGATTATCGAAAAAAGAAAGAATGCAGGGTGTGGACTTGGTTCTATGCATCGTTTGTTGATTATTTTGAGATGTAGGCATTGCATGCAAAAGTGTAGGGAATTGAATAAGAGCTTGCAGAGGTTTAAACATGTTAAAATGGAGTAGTCCTGTATATGTCACTAGAGATTTGACATTTTCGCCAGAAGGTTCAGTTATGATATTTTGTTTAAATGTTATGTCAGAAATTTTTTTTTTAAATGAAACATGCACAGACGAATTGTTCACAATAAGATCTATAACATGTATTTGTAAAAAAAAAAGATACATTTTAATTTTACGATGACTCTAATAGTGCACTCAGAAACCTTCTTTTTATGGTGTATTGGTATTGCACGGTATAGCAAAATAAATAAAAAAAAATAAAAAAAAAATACAAATAAAACTGAATTAATCTTATTGTAACGATTCAGTCCACTGAAGGCGAGCGTAGTGAGAACCCAAGTGCAGTTTATTTACAGGTGATCCAAACTCCAAACATAATCCAAACAAGATACACAGACTAGAGACACAGACTTGACTTGACGAGGCATGAACAGACTTGACTAGGCACGAGAAGACTTGACGTGGCATAAACAGACTAGACTCACCGACAGCGGGTTACCAAACTCCACAAACAAGATACACAGACTAGAGACACAGACTTGACTTGACGAGGCATGAACAGACTTGACAGACTTGACTAAGACTTGACGTGGCCAGACTAGACTCACCGACAGCGGGTTACAACATCAATACATG